CACTGCTTCCGCTGTTGCCAGCACCCGTTGGCGTAGGCCTTTGGAGAAGTTAAGTAGTGTCCTGTAGACAACCTGAAAGGCTTCGTTAGTATCGACAGGGTGTGCGAGAATAGAGCTTGAGATCGATTTAGTCTCACCTTTATTCAACCAGGCTGGCACGTGTTCACGTTTTCTCTTTTCCAGGCGCCTCGTTGTTCGGCCAAAGTATCATGCTCCATAGGAGCAGGTGAAGGAGTAGATGCACACAAGCCCTATTCCTTCCGTGACCGACGCCGTCGCCAGGTGACGATAGCATATCACCCCCAGCCACGAGTGGCAGTGGCTTACCCAACACGCCGACCAGACTGACAAAATCCGCAGTGGCCAATAGGCGCCCAGCTAGGGCAATTATTGATTTTTCGACACATTCTAATGTTTATTGTTTTGGAAAGTTAAGGGCCTGACGAAGAATTGCCGAAAAACATGTTTTGCCGAATAAACTGACTTTTCAAGTTAAACATGGAAATATTTACCGAAATTATCTATATCTGTTGAAATATGTTGAGACCTGCATGGTTGCTTTTCACTAACAGGAAATTGCCTGTGACCGATTCCTGCAGGAGTTCGAAAGCTCAGACTCGTAATAATAACGCATGGTCTCAATGGTTAGAGCTTTGGACTTCTAATCAACAGGTTGCAGGTTTGGCCCTCGGGTGGTACACCACTTGGGGTTGGATATGGCTAGCTGATACCCGCCAGTAAGTTAGAAAGGGCCACTCCAGTCTTCCTTGTCTCTGTCGGCGACGTTTATTTGCCAGTAAACTGCTCCAATAGTCCACCAGTCTTATTTTCGAGTAGGGGAATCTTGGACTTCCTTGCATGAAAAGTGCACAGCTCTTGTAGTGTGGAATCTCTCAGTATATACGTGCAACGCCAGGAAGGTCGGGTGCAAAAGTATTTGGGAATGGAAAAGCTGATAAGACACGATATGGCCACATATTCCAGCCTCCTCCTCCTCGTCGTAACATTAATCCTAATCTCCCAGAAATTTAGCGCGCAATATCACCTCTATTACAGGGTTCTATTTTCATGTCTTATGGAAAAAAAAACAGTTTAAACCTGTAAGATGCTATTTCTTCAAGTAAGAAATTTGAAAAGGATATAGTTTATTACAAACTGAGTACAAGAAAGGATGTCTAGTGCGTGCATTCTATAAAATATGTGTTTGGATTTACCAGCCAATCAACAATCGATGAAAAGAATCCATACCGCCGTTTCTAGCCATTTTAGGGAGCGTGACCTTGACTAGCAGTTGGAAAGACATGCGTTCAAAAGCCGGCGTGACTAAAATATACTGAAAGCGTGTTGCGTGGTAATTACTTTTCCGAATTTCCTTTAACCCGCCATGAGCCGCCTCACTTACTGTACACATGCTTATATAATGCAGGAGTAATGAAGGTTACTTGGCTAGCAAAGCGGTCAAACTTAGTTACTCTGTCCCGCTCAAAAGCTGGCCGTTAGTACCTACCGCCAGATGGTGTCGATTCTGCTCACCGATGCATGTCTAACTTCACTTTGTGTGCTGTGTTGACGGCGGCAGTAAGGGGATTCCGAGTTGTTGATTTTTCTTGCTGCCAGGTCTGACTGACAGAACTTACCCTTCTGCGTCGGCCCATAAGCAGTTCAGTGTCGTGCCGCCGTGATCAACCGCGTTTCGGTACTTTGACCAGTCGTCTCTTTGTTTCAACGAGGCCCACCTCTACCT